TGGTATGATTAGTGAATGTGCCAGCCTTACGCAACTTGATGGCCCTCAGATGTTTTGGAGTACAATTCCCATCAGCCCCTGCCAGTACAGCCATGCTCTTATCATCCCCAATGTCACAGTGCCATGATGACTGGGTTTGGTGGAAGGCATAGTCCAAGACACTTAGAGGGTACCAGACTGGGGAAGGCTAGGGTGTTAGGGAAAATATCAGGGTGTTTCCTCAATACCGATGGCCAATCAGTACCAGACACAAGTCAGATCAATTAACAGGCACTTATTTAGCACTGCAATGGACACCACTTAATCCACCCACCCTTAGGCAAAGAGGAAGGTGCCAGGTAAAAGAAACAGCAATATTTATACCTTTAGTATTCCTAAATAACAGCTTTTCCCCCCAGCTAAGCCATGTGGCATAACAAAGTTCTTCCTCCTCCAACAGTTTCTCTTGCCTTCATGCTGCTTTTTCCTTCTCTCCTGGTTCCCTTACAAACACAATTTCATAGCTGTCAAGTGTCCCTTATTTGAAGGGACAGTCCCTTATTCCAGCGCCATGTCCCGCTGCTGTCCCTTATTGATGGATGTCCCTTAAATGTCCCTTAAATGATGTCCCTTAAATTTCAAAGGAAGCAGCTCCTCTCCCTCCCTCCCTGCTGGCCAGGGAGGAGGGAGGCTCCAAATGTGTTGCTTGGCTGTGTTGCTCACCCAATAAGAAGTCTAAGAATGACTGGAGGGTGGAGCTTGCATGCCTTGCGTGTGGCTAGTTAATGCAAGCTGAGGGGTTTTTTGAATGCTGGACGCCATTTTGTTGCATGTGCTGCTGCAAACTTTGCAGTTCAAAGCCAGGCTGGAGAGCCATCTTAAGTTGAGGCTGCTTAGGCCTTGTGGTGCATGTGATTCAGATTCTATTCAGTTGAACCTCTGGTTACAAAGTTGGTTAGACAGTGTTCTCGAAGCTACCCAGCATGAGTTTGACCAGACTGCAGGAGGACAGGAAGACTGGAGTGCCTGGAACAGGTGAGGCTGCAGGTCCCTTATTTTGGCTGCTGGTCCCTTATTTTCAAGGCTGCTGGTCCCTTATTTTCAAATCTGTAAGTTGACAGCTATGCAATTTGCTCAACCCTTCTCACACACATTTCAATTTTCATTGTATAATTTCAATAATTTCCCCAACAAGCGCATGTCGTCAGAGAGGCACATTGTGTTCTTTAGTCCAAGGTGCACCCCTACAGAACAGATGGTTTTTGAAAAATGCATTTGCAATCTGGACTGGAAGATTATAGGTTTTATTTAATCATTCATTCAACATATTATTATTTTTAACCCACCCTTCATCTACAGAGATACCAGAGCGGGGTGCAGAACATAAAGCAGAAACAACCGATCCAATTATAAAGTAAAGTACAAGGCAGCACTGAAGAGAGAGCTGCAGCTCAAGATAGGAAAAGTGGTGGTAAGGGAACACCTGGCAACTTTAAATGAATTCAAATCCCCAGGGCCTGATGAGCTGCACCTAAGGGTACTCAAGGAGCTTGAGGATGTAATCTCAGAGCCTCAGTCTAATATTAGAGGATTATTGGAGAACAGGTGAGGCAGGCAAATGTTCCTGCATTCAAAGGGGGAAGACCCAGGTGCAAAGGGCCAAAGGATCTGGTCGTTAGCTAAAAGGTGAGCCGTTTAAGACCACCCAGGGACTCTTTAGGGCCTGATTCCAATATTGCAGGAGGTTGAACCAGATGATCCTTGGGGTTCCTCCCAACTCTACAGATTCCAAGGCATTCCAAAATGCGCCATCAGATGAAGCTGATGAAAACAGAAGACCATCATCAGCTGCCAAAACGTCAAATTTATGGGCAAACAAGGCTTAGCCTGGTGCCAAAATGGCAACAATGGTGCCAGTCATACTAGTAAAGCAGGTAGGGAACCTCAGTGTCTTTATCTGACCCTCAGGATTCTCCCCAGGACACAACTGTCACTGATCCTTGAGTGTGCTTGGTGGGCCAGGCTATGTCTTTGGACTCTTAACCGTGCTTCTTGGTCGCCTGGATAGAGAGCTGGTAGAGAGCGTTTGTGTGTGTGATGAAACTAGCCTACCATACCAAATGTACATTTCTTGCTCCACCCACTTTTGCCTCTAACCCCACCCACCACTGGCGTGTGGCCCTTGAAAGGCTGCCCAGAAGGGAATGTGGCCTTCAAGCTGAGAAAAAATTCCCACCCATGCTGAAGAAGGAATCTGTCCTGTAGACAGGGTGCCACCACAGAGAAGACTCCATTCTCCCCTCACTCCCCATCCCCAGCCTTTTGGACCAATGGCCTTCAAGGTACCTTAGAGCAATAGGCTTCTAGCTTTTCAGACTTGGGACTCACTTTTTGCCCAAACCAGCTTTTGAGGACCTTGAGATACCACTGTATCCTGTTTTTATGCTTTCATTGTAACACCATTTGTTAAATTTTTATTCTTTTGTTTTAATGTTATGATGAACAAAAGAATTTAAATGAACACTGAAAGAGGCAAAGATGGGTGCTATGTGGCACGTATTGAAACGTCCCTCTGGTGCTCTAAGAGTGGGAGGGGAGCACTTTCTTCATTATCAGCACCCAGTCATGAGACAGGATGAAGGCCCAGGCTCAGGGAATTAACTTTGGGCATGATTTTGAGAGTTGCTATTATGTCCCAAAGACCGTTTGTCTACCTTCCCCAGCCATCTGTCGGCAGAGCAATCTCCACCATTAGGCAGAGTGAAGTATTTGCTTCAGGTAGCAGGGGCTTAAAAGTTTGCCTGGGCCCCTGCCAGGTGGCAGGGAAAGGGCTTGAATCTCCAGATTGCGAGAGGGATAGTAGTAGTAGTAGTAGTAGTAGTAGTAGTAGTAGTAGTAGTAATTGAGAAGACTGTGCATGCAGCTTGCAACTTTAAGCCCAACAGGAGCTGGCTGCAATACATAGACACTTGATGGTTTGCCCTCCTCTGTTCCCCTCTGCCAGTTAGGGTCGACCTCCAGGGACTGCCTCCAAGACATTACCAGGGGCCACTGCTGGATCTCAGGTTTAAGCCCTGGAATCTCAGGCTATGGGATGCTTCTGACCTGGAAAACCTACAGGGGCAGCAGCTGCTCTCCATTACACCCTTGAGTCTCTTAACCTGCCCTCAGGTATCCTGTGGGATTTTGTTCTGTTTGCAGAGTTGGAGTAAGATTCAGTTGCCAGTCCAGTGGAACAATGGTGGTTCAGCATCTCTGCCTTTGCCTCTCTATTGAGAGATGAAAAGTTGGCCAGCCTTGGTGGCAGAGTGTGGGTGGTGTTTTATGAGTAATTCTGTTGTTCCCATCTCTTGCTGGTAAAACCTTTTCCTTTTCCATTATCTGTTGGGTGTTCTGTTTATGAACTCTGATTGATGGCAAACCAAGTGAAACAAACATTAAGGCATTGTGAGGTGTTTCAGATTTAGCTTGATATGACACATCTTGCAGCCCTGAAAGGTCCACTGGTGCAAAGGTGTGGCATTGTTTGACGCACACTGAGTCACAGGGACAATTTTTCACAAGTGCAAAATATCTATGCCCTTAAATGCCTACTTCTCTAAAGCAAAGGGGAGGGGGATTGTTGATGCTTTTGATATATTTATTGTATCCCTAATCTTAAAATGTTTATGGAAATGGTTTGATTTGATGGTTCACTTTTTGTTTCATTTATTTAAGATTACATTTGCTGCTTTTGTATTTATTTAATGTTTTTCACGCCGCAAGCCACCTTGAGTATGGTGTTAACTATGGAAAGTATATGTATGTGTGTGTATGTATGCTTTATGTATGTATGTAAAGGTAAAGGGACCCCTGAGTCGCGGACGACTCTGGGGCTGCGGTGCTCACCTCGCTGTATCGGCCAAGGGAGCTGGTGTACCGCTTTTCCTGGGCTCCGTGGTTTAACCCACAGCGCCCCCCGCGCCTACGGCTATCTTTTACAGCAGCAAGGTTAAAGCGCTCGCGGCGTGATTTCAAAAAGAGGGAGCGCTGCGTCTGGGAAGGACCCCTCGTGGCGGGTGGGGGAGGGGCTGCGCTTAAGAGCTGCAGGTTCGAATCCCGGCCCGGCCACGGAGCCCCTCGGGGCCCCTCGGACTCCCTGGCGGGGTTGTTGGGGGGGCGACGCGCGGCCCCTTGAGCTCCAGCGAGGCCAGGCAGCAAACCTTCGCCGCCGCTGCGCCAAATAAGCTCCGCCCTCCGCTGCCGCCGCCGCCGCCGCCGCCCTAAGGGGCTCCGGGGTCTTCCGTGTCTCGCGGCGGAAGTCCGCCCGGGGGCGCCGGGCGAGAATCTGACCTTCCGAAAAGGTCTCTATGATCGACGAGCTCCTCCCCCGCCCGCGTTGCCATGGAAACCTCAGCGCCTCAGAGCGGAAGTGGCGACACCGACATGGTCTGGACTGGAGGCGCCTCCCTCGCCAGACCTGCGATCCGCTGAGGAAGCTTTCTCTGAACGGCCTAGCCGGAAATGACGTCGTTGTCGGCGCCCGTCTGCCTCCGGAGACAGAACCAGAAACGTCAATGAGCCGCATGGTGAAGGCGGGTGGACAGAGCGGCGGAAGTGCGTTTCGCACGCCGGAAGCGAGGCCTCGGTCTACCTGCGCCGGCGCAGATGTCGCTAATAGCGCATGCGCCCTAGTGCCGTAACCGTTTCCTTTTCCCTCCGCCCGGTGTCGCGACATCGACTGTCCCTTCCGCTCCCTCCCGGAAGCCGTGTGAGCGGTACTGCTGCGTAAGCCTTCCGGGCAGGCGGGCGGTTCCCCACCCCTGGGCAGAGCGCGGCGGCCGGCCATGGCTCAGTGAGGCGGCGGCGGCGGCGGCGGCCGGGGCTTGGCGCAGGTGAGGGGGCGTCGAGGGGCCGGGCTGGAAGGCTTGGCGGGCCGGCGAGGGCATCTCTGAGCCGCCCCTCGCGGGCTCTTTTCTCTGCTCCTCCCCGTAGGCAGGACGGAGCAGGCGGCGGAGGCAGGAGCAGCAGCCGCCGCCGGCGCCTCACGGGCGCGCGCACCCCGCGATCCCGCGCGGCCTTGAGCCCCCTCGCCCCGCCCCTCCCCCCAGGGCAGAAGCCCCTTGCGAAGCTTCCCTCTTCCTCCTCTCCTCTCTCAGGAAAGCCAAGCCCACCTTCTCCTTCGCGCGCCATTCCTCCTCTGGGCAAAGGCAGCTGCGAGCCTCCCTGGAAAAGGTCCAGCCCTATGAGGATTCCCCACTCGGCTTCCCTTCTCCCCGCGGCTTTCCCCGATTCCTCTCGGGGGGCGTGCCGGCCCCCTGACTCGGCATTCCTCCGCCCCAGCTGCTCCTCCCCGTCCTCCTCTGCGCCCACCTGCCCGCCAGCTGCTCCCCGGCTCGCGCCCTCCCTGTTTTATGCTGTGCAGGGGGATCGCCAGCGCCCATGAGGGAGTACAAAGTCGTGGTTTTAGGGAGTGGGGGGGTGGGCAAGTCGGCTTTGACCGTGCAGTTTGTCACCGGGACGTTCATTGAGAAGTACGACCCCACCATCGAAGACTTCTACCGCAAGGAGATTGAAGTGGACTGCTCCCCATCAGTACTGGAAATCTTGGATACCGCAGGGACGGAACAGTTTGCTTCCATGCGTGATCTCTACATTAAAAATGGCCAAGGCTTCATCCTAGTTTACAGTTTGGTGAACCAACAATCTTTCCAGGTAAGAAATACTGTTTCATCTATGCTTCCTGCCCCCTCCCCAGGACTTTTTGTGGGTTTCCCCTCTCCCCAAAAATCTCAAGCAACTGAAAATATATTTCTCTGTTAGGAGTGCAACTAGACTTTAAGAAGCTGTTATCCACCATCACAGCACTGTGGTTTTTTGTTGTTGTTGTTTAATTGTTTAGTCGTGTCCGCCTCTTCGTGACCCCATGGACCAGAGCACGCCAGGCACTCCTGTCTTCCACTGCCTCCCGCAGCTTGGTCAAACTCATCCTGGTAGCTTTGAGAACACTTTGAGAACACCATCTCGTCCTCTTCTCCTTGTGCCCTCCATCTTTCCCAACATCAGGGTCTTTTCCAGGAAGTCTTCTCTTCTCATGAGGTGGCCACAGTATTGGAGCCTCAGCTTCACGATCTGGCCTTCCAATGAGCACTCAGGGCTGATTTCCTTCAGAATAGATAGGTCTGATCTTCTTGCAGTCCATGGGATTCTCAAGAGTCTCCTCCAGCACCATAATTCAAAAGCATCCATTCTTCGACGATCAGCCTTCTTTATGGTCCAGCTCTCACTTCCATACATCACTACTGGGAAAACCATAGCTGTGGTTTTAGCTAAAAACACCAAACTGTGTTTTTAGCTGAACATTATTTACCAAAATATACACAAAAGTTTTTGAATATCTATTCATATAACTTGTTTACTTAAAAATCTGACCACACTTTATTACAGAAGACAGTTTGGGTCAGAAGGAATGACTGCAGATACTGATTGCTAAAAGCTATTGACATGTTGTGAGTTGTGTCAGGATATGTCAGATGCTTTGTTGCTGAGTTTTTAAAGAGTGAAAATAGTTTTTGTATTGGTGGTGGCTTAGGTAACGTAGCAGTCTTCAAATACGCTCAGTTCACAACCATAAAACAATTTGGTCTTTGCCAGTTAGCTCTTAACTGCTTGAGTTCCCAATAATAAAAATTTTTTTGGGGTGGGGGTGGGGAGTCTGAGCATGCTATTGAAACCTTCATGTCTGAAGTCCAAGTATGCAGAGCTGCAATTGGGCATCTTAATAGTGATTCCTATAACCTGGAGTGGGAAGGAATGCATGGGAAGGGTTAGAAGCTGGCCCTCCCTAAGAGCTGTGCAAAGACTCCTTACTGGCACCAGCTAACTTGCTGAGTTGGGTGGACTCCAGCTTCTTGGCAGACTCTATTACACCCACGCAGAGAGTGGAGTATATCCGTGGTGGATGCATAGCTAGATAAATGCTTATCTTGATTCCAGGCTTCTTTCCTTGGCATTTCTTTTCTATTGCACTTGGCTGCCTCTCTTCTCTGCTCATGATATCTTGCATGTTCTAGCATAAAGACAACTTAATAACCCCTCAAGACATCAAGCCTCTATTGAATCCTCAAGTGGGGCAGTGGGACCCGCTTGCACTGGGTGTGTGTGTCTTTTTTTAGCACTCCTAATCAAAAGGAAGTAGGCGTGAGTCTTCCCATGCAATTGCATTAATAATTGTAGCTTTCAAAACTTAATTTCTGTACCTTAGAAGTGTGCAAGATCCCATAGATCCCGAGTGACTTATTTATAGTCACACTCTCCCCATGCTCCAGTGGAGGCTTGCAAAACAACTTGTGGACACCCTCCCCACATGGGTTGCCAGGTGTCGTGACAGACCCCTTGTTCTTACAGACCCAGAAACTTGGAAGGCTTGTCAAGCCTCTGACATGCCGCCATCTGCCTATCTGTCTTTTTTGTTCTCATGTGTCTCTTGTACCTGTGTTGTACAGTTTTTGACAAGGACCTTTCTTCATACAAAAATATATACAAATGGGTTTTTTAAAAGCAAAATAACATACTTGAAGGCATAGCACAAATCCCTTCCCTGAACCTGCCATTCCCACAGGGATATTTCTGCCCCCTAAATGAAAACTGTCACTTCATGCCCTCTCAGTGGAGGCAGATCTGCTTTCTGGCATGTAGGCTAAATCGCTTAACATTTGGTCACAGTTGCACTGGTTTGCTGTCTGAGCACTGCTGCAGCCATGAGGGTTTCAATGGCTTTCTTTTCTTCTTCAGGACATCAAGCCAATGAGGGACCAAATTGTCCGTGTAAAGAGATACGAGAAGGTTCCTCTCATCCTGGTGGGGAATAAAGTGGATCTGGAGTCGGAAAGGGAGGTTTTGTCAGCGGAAGGTCGTGCTCTGGCCCAGGAGTGGGGCTGCCCATTCATGGAGACATCTGCCAAGAGCAAGACCATGGTGGATGAACTCTTTGCAGAGATCGTGAGGCAAATGAACTATGCATCCCTGCCTGAAAAGCAAGACCAGTGTTGTACAACTTGTATTGTCCAGTGAAAAAGAGAAAGCAGAATCTCAATCATGGCCATACCAAGCAGGTTGGTGGAATCTCCATGGATAGCAGAATACCACTCAAGGGTAGGAGGGAGCTGTTAGGCTCAAGGTGGACTACAGTGTCTTCTATTATTATTATTATTATTATTATTATTATTTATTATTATACAAACTGGGCAGTAGCATTGTTTTTGCAGCAACCCTGTGATTGAGAAGTGAGGAGTGGCAGCGCATTTGACAGTGTAGGGAGCTTGTCCTAGGCTGTCCAGTCAACTTTGTTCCTGGGCCAGGATTCAGACTTGTGCTTCCCAAGGAAGCACTTGACTCCACTGGATCTCTCAGAAACGCACTTTGTTCAGTTTCTTGCCAGCCTACATTGCCATGGCAGGTGGCTTCTGCTGGACATCTGACCAATGTCTTGTGGTTTGCTGTCACCCTGAATTTTTTGCTCTGGCAATGAGTTTGACTAGCTTTCCTTTGGAGATCCCTGCTATTGTTCTCAGTTGCCTTACATTGCATCAGGCTGTTGGTTCACCTAGCCCAGCGTGGTCTATAGCAATTGCTGATGGCTCCCCGTAGTCTTGCACAGAGACTGGCTTTTCAAAAGCCTTTTAGCCAGAGTAGCAAAGGGTTGAAGCTGCTGCCCTCTGTTTGCAGTGCTTGCATTCTGCCCCTCTCAAGTTTGCCCAGAAAATAATTGCTAACTTGCCCCAGTTGAATGAGGATCATGTGAATGCACAGCAGCACCTCAGTTAACTTGCCTTGAAGCATACACCTGCCTTTCGGTGGAGAGCCACTGGTTAGGCCCTCAAGTGCTTGCATTGGGTACCAGCAGAGTGGACCTCTGTGCCTTATGTGATCGTACAGGCTATGCAAAAGTGTAATGGAGTTTCAGCAGTAGTTGGTGAGGTGGGAAATAAGTGGCAAAACCACATTATTTGCAACAGTGCCTAGTAACTGGATTAACAAGGTGCACGGGCTACTGATAGTTCATAGTTAGTACTGATAGTTTTTTGGAACCTCATGAGTGCACCAGCAGGATGCAGACTAGCGCAGAAAATGAGGTGGAGATGCAAGTTGATGGCAGCCATCGGGCTGCCTCATTTAGCCCCATGTGTAAGGAGGGAGGCTGGCCTGAGGTACTTGCCTCAGCATCTGTTTCCTGGTTTTCCATCTTTCCTGGTACCTTCCAGATTTTGCTGGACTGCAGCTGCCATCATTCCTGACCATTGGCCAGGCTGCCTTGGGCTGATGGGAGTTGGAGTCCAGTGAAACACCCAGCCTAGTCCAAGGAGAACCACTCCAGAGGCAGCAAGTCTTCTCTTGAGACTTTCCTCCTGCTGCCTGGCTTTGGGTATAAAGATGGCTGTCTAAAAGGAATGTGGATCAGACCCCAGAGTCCTTGCGCAAGCTGCTCTAAGCATATTCCCTCTCATGCAAATCACTTTAATAATAGAAGCATCTGAAGAAGCGGAAGAGTGTCACTGCTGATTCCTACTGTGCTTCTGCATGATTTGAAGCTGCCTCTTGGCTCAAAAGAGGCAAGTGGTTACGAAAACAGTCTGATGTGTCAGCTGTCATTTAAATATTCCAGGGTGGTTGCTGACTGTGTTCTGCAGTTTAAAAGTTTGTGTTGAAACTCACATCAGTTGCTGCAAATGGAATAACACCGGTGACATTGTGCAGCCTCTCCTTTGCCCTGGTCTGAAACTTCCACTCTTAAAGGGGGGGGGGCGGCTTCCAGTGAAATACCAGTGGTCTCTCTTCTGTTATGTCAGGCTGTTTGGGGGGGGGGTGGACTCCCTTGCTGAGGGATGCCATTTGCAAATTCTACTTTGCCAGGTGTAACACTGTCTGAAAAGCAACACCGCCTGCTTTCTCTGTGCCACTCACAGTATTGCAGAATCCTGGCCTTGATGATGAAATTGGCTTACATGTCAGGGGAAAATTTGTGCACTCAAATGAAGCATGAGAAAAGGGAATGTAAAGGAGCCTTGTGTGCTTGATAGGGTGGGGGAGCTACAGAGGACAAGGCGAAAGGGCCTGACTGAATCTCAACTACCTTGGGGGTAAGGTATGCCCAGAAACAGTGGGCGTGGGCTGTTGCGCCAAAGTGTGGAGTCTGTTTAATACAAGGATAGGCTGGCCCCTGGCCCAGTCACTGGTCTGTATCCTGAAAGAGCCGAGCCTGCCTTTGATTTGCTCTTTGTCTTAACTGCAGATAAAAACTCAGAGGAATTTGCACAGATGCTGCTTTGGAGAAACCCTTTCAGCCCAGGCTGCAGAACTGAGCCTTGCTAAATCCTGTCTCTCTCTTTAGAGCACATTTCCAGGCGTGGGTGCAAAAAGGTCAGCGGCGGCCATGGACATCCGTAGGCCTGCAACAAACGCTTAGCATGTTTACCACACATTCTGAAATCTGTTCTTTATCTCTCAGTCCTTCTGGTTCTTTTTAAAATAGCTTTCTAAATTCCTATTAATGGCTAATATGCAAAGGTTCATTTTAAAAATATGTTTTGATTTCCTTAATTGATTTCCAGAACTTGTATTTATTAAATTTTAAACTCAGTATTACCTACTCAATGCCTTTTTAAGTGAAAGTTTTAATGGAGAATAAAAGTGAGCCTTAAACAAGTGGTTACTTCTGTATATTACCTCACATCCGTGCTTGATTTGCAAAAAGAAAGTTTTCTTCTCCTCCAAAATGTCACTGGTTGAAACTTCAAAATGTTCTGTTTACATGTGATTGTGTCATAGATATGAGTCATATTGTACGGATGTTTTAAACATCACATTTCGCTAGCAGCTGTGGTGGCTGGTCATTGGTCTTACATGAAGATAGGAAGTTATTGGACTGGGTCTCGAGCTGACCAGCACTTTGTATGTGTTTTCCTTCTTATCACATGGTATTCAGAGTTTGTTTGGTTTTCCCCTTTTAAACTGATGCAGCATTCATGTTAAATCACCAGGACATTTTTCAATTTCTGATATTGTATTTCTCGGCAAAGAATAATGAGTTGTCCACGGGGCTTTTGTTCAAAAGCAAAAGCTAACTTGGGTTTGCCTGACAGGATTAAGATGACATCAAATGCAAAAACAAAAAAACATTTTCTAGTTCTTAAAATACTGTTTCTCTCCTAATAATGTTTTTAAGCAATATCTGTTTGCTTATTTCCTGCCCACTCCCCTGGTTTCCAGTACTCTGAGCTGGCACAGCAGGCAAGAGTGTTGAGCATCAACTCCATGCACGATTGCATTACACAGCCATTGCCTTCTGCAGAGTTTACCTGATTTAAACTATTTTGTCTGGATACTTGAAAACTTAGAACAGCAACACAGGTATTAAGCAGAATGAAAAGTATATAAATAGCTGAAGTGTTGAGGTAGGAGTTTTTTCCAGCAGTGATTTGAGAAACCGCCTTTTCCTCCCCACAGTCTGAATAACTGTGGCTCATTTACCTGTATCAAATTGTAGGTTTAAGAGCCTAGCTTAATTAATTTGAACATGCTTGATAAATACTGGCTTGTCCTATAAAAGCCAATAACCTGTTGACAATGAATTCTTGCAATTAAGTACTAGCCTGAGATATGAGGCAACTATAACTTCAAAAAGAGGCACCAGCATTCTGCATGTTTAGTCTCATTTGAACCCTATTGAGAAAAAAATCAGTTTTAAGTTTAAAGCTTCAGGTTACCAAATTTGCAATGGGGTTACTAGAAATTAATGTTAGGTTTGCACTTTAATGGAAGACTTCAAAACTGAAGGCTGTTCTCAAAGTATATTTATATGGTAACATGTTAGTAGTGCCAAGGGAACAGAGGATCCAAATAACCTAATTTCCTAAGAGGGCAGAAACCTTGCATTGCCACCAAACCCTTTCCCTTTTGTTTCTTAATTGATCATTTGTTAAAATGTGATTTAAAATCCTTAACTGACATCAGCAGTTGGTATAGTACCAGGAATGGCAAAACTTATGCCCAGTGTCAGTTTCCTCACTGCAAATTGGAATAAGGGACCAAATGTTTAGCTGAGGCTTCCTCTTGGGTTGCAGTGAGGAGTAGCTTTGTGGAAGTAGCTGATAACGCAATATTTGCAGGACCCCCAGGCCTGCCTCCTGGGTCTCTTTGTTAATTGAAAAAGTTGTCTCTTAAGCCCCCTTTTAGCTTCATCAGGGCTTGTTGAGGGCAAAGCTTCTGGTGGGCTGCTTCCTTTGACCCTCCAGCATCTCTCTTGGGTCTTCAAATCACTGCAGTTGGGACTCTCCAAACAAAGGCCATTTTCAGAGGTCTCCCAAACCACCCTGGGATATCTGTCCCCTAGACTGAAAAGTGGCAGCAGAACACAAGATAATTCTGAAAGAATTATTGTCTCCCTTAGCCACCTTTTCTGTTGTTTGCACGGTGGGTGTTGAGGCCCTGCTCCTCTCCCCCTAGAGCAACTGGCCAGGGTCCGTGAATGCAGCTGTTTGTTGGGAGAGAAATACCCCCCTGGGTACAATTGTGACCTTTTGCATGGACACAGCTGAGAGCCGTGATATGTGTGAAAAGTACCTAAAAGGAAACCTGAACTTAACCAGTGTGCTGTACCTTTTATTGGTGAAAAAGTAAAACCTGGGAATATTAGTGAATGCAAAACTTAGAACTATGATCTAATGCATTGTAAACTAAAAACCACCTATTACACCCCCCACCCCCCGGATTTCATTCATTCATTATTTTGTAAGACGACCCTACAGTCCACCTGTTTGTAACTTTTTTAAATAAAATAGATACCTGTATTAATTACCAAAACTGCATCACTGTTGTTTGTCTTGGTAATATCTATGCTAAGGGAAGTGGCTGGGTTTCTAGAATGAGGTAGTTGGTATGTACCATATAATTGCAGCTGTGTGCAGGGGCACATGTCATTATACATGAGCCAGAGTGCAAAATTCAGCTTCCTAAGAATCTGTGATTCGTGTGTGTGTGTGTGTGTGCGTGCGTGTGTACATACACACCATATTCTAAAGCAGATGTGAAGAACCCCTGGCCCTTCAGCCCCAGGAAGCATGGCCAATTCAGCAGGAGAACGGCCAAATATTCCCCATGCCTGTTCCAAAGTGTCTGCCGGAATACTGGAGATGGGCAAATGTCTTTTTTTCCCAACAAGGTGAGGGAAATAGAGAGAATTGAGGAGGCAGATGTGAGAAACCACAACCTGGTCTGCTTTATGTCAGCAGTTAGGTGTAAAAAAAACTCAGGCTTTGCAAAGCTGGGGGCACTGGGTCAAGTTCACCACCTTGGTTGAATTAATTAAACTATAGATTTAATTGGATTTTGAATAAAGGTGCAATTAATTGTTAATGCTTTGAATTTTATTGTTAACTTCCCTAGTGGGTCCTGCAAATGGTTTTGACAGATAGGATAGGGGGCACTGGGAATTTAATGGAATCAAGGGGGTGGCAACCGCAAAAGGTTTGTGAGCCACTGATTTAGAGTAAGTCATACTAGACCAGCATTTATCCTTTTTTCTTTATTAGAGTTTGTAGTGTGGTAGATAATAGATTTCTATATCTTGACTTCAGCAAAGCATTTGATAAGGCCTATGATGCTCTTGTTGAAAAGTTGGTGAAATGAAAATAGGTACCTAGAAAGATGAAACAAACACCATTCTCTTATCTATCATCTATCTATCTATCTATCTATCTATCTATCTATCTATCTATCTATCTATCTATCATTTATCTACTGGGTGATAGAATTGGTAAGGATTAACTGGTTGAAGAACTGCACTGAACAAGTGCTCTTCCATGACGTCTCTGTGTCAGCCTGGAGAGAAATGTGTTGTTTGACTTGGATGAAGGTATAGAGGGATTGTGGATTAAATGTGGAGATGGGTAATGCCATGGAACACAGCACCACAATTCAAGATGATCCTGGACATTGGTGCAGATAGTGTGGCAACCAAGTTCTATGAGGAAAGAACTAATGGAAAGAACTCTTAAGGGGAAGTTAAAGGGAGACATGATAGCTGTCTTCAAATACCTGAAGGAGTTTTCTGCTGGTGTAGGGGTGTCCTCTGTTCCCCCAGAAGGCTGGAAGGGAACCAAGAGGTGGGAACTTTGGCAGGGGTGTGTGTGGAATTAGCTGGAAGCTTCCTAATGTTAAGAAGTGTTCAGTGGTGGAACAGACCGTCTCAGAGGTAATGGGCTCTCCTTCACTTAGATGTATTTATGCACAGGATGAACAGCCTTCTGTCAGGTTGCTGTGGTTGCACTCTGCCTTCAGAAGGGGCTGAACTAGATGATCTTCAAGAAGATTAGGTCAGGGGTCAGCAAGGTTTACCTCACCTGGGCCGGTTCACTCCAGTGGAGATCCTTCTGTGGGCCAGATTGCATGCGCGATTTCTGGCGTCAGCACCTGCGCAGACATGATCTCCGGCGCCACGGAAGCGAGTCCCCGTGCTGTGCTGTATTGCTTTAGCGCAGCGCGCGGAGACTTGCCAAGGAGGCCGCTCGGTACCGGGGCGGCTCATGGGCCAGTTAAACGACCCCATGGGCCTCTTGTGGCCCATGGGCCTTAGGTGGCCAACCCCTGGATTAGATGGTTTTTTGTCGTTTCGTTCTGGGTTGGATTCAGCAATGAGTCTTTAATGGGCTGTTTCTGGTTCAGACTAATAACAGTGCAAAACCAAGTTTGCCACATCTGAACCATTTCACTAGCAGGTTGCATTAAAAAATGTATAGTGCTTATAGGCATATGTAGTTAATAAAACTGAGAGGTTGCATCTTAATCCAAATATTAAATTATTTAAAATGTTGTTCAAAACCTTAGAACAGTTAATAGAGGGTAATAAAGACTCAAGGATGAAATAGCAAGCTAATCTTGTATTACTATAAAAGGTGTAGTGGTGAAGTATATTGATTATATTTTTAGAAAATATTCATTTTCTTAATTTCAAATAGAGGCTTGGGGTGTGCTCAACTACAGGAATGCTCAACATTGGTTAAGGTTTCATTTCCTTTATGTTCTATTCTGACATACTGTTTTTAAAAAGCCTGCTAGCACTCGTTTTTGGGCAAAAAGCTTAGCAGCATATTACTTTTCTTTTACAGGACAAATACCTCTGAAACCCTTCCATGAAGTAGGAACTAGAACCAACTCTTCTGACAAATGCAGGTTTTTAAAAAGTATCTCTGAACAATGGGCATTAAACAATAAATTAAGCCAGGAATGTAGGCAGGCCAAGAGAGAAACACAAAGACTATTTTTCAGAGCTTTGGTTTCAGTCTATTTCTTATGTAAACCTAAAGGATACATCCCATCTAATGACCGACCTTTTGGAATGGACTTCAGCTCACTCTCCTGAAGTGACATGAACTTGTGGCTCTTTACTCTTGATGTTGAGCCGAGCATGTGTTGAACCCAAGGTGAACTGTTCCGGAAGCTCTGCAGTCACCATCTTGCTAGTCAAGATAACCCCACAATTAATTTGTACTGGTTATAACAATGAGCTCATATATGCTTATATTTCCTTGCTTTGATATAAGCTAATGGGCTTGCTTTGATGTTCTCCTTATCTGTGGGCTTGGAGTGCTGGGCTCTGAGCCCAGAAAGGGGAGCTGATGGTAAGACTTGGGTATTTGCCACCTATGCCCTAATCAGGTGCGGAAAAGCCACCTGCTAACTGTGGTGTCTATCCTATGTCTGTAAAGGCTAGTGCTGTGAGTCTGCACCTTTGTTTTAATAAAGCATTAGAACGCAACACTGGCTTTTCTGACATCCTTCTTTGGTATCCCTGCATCCAACCACTCCCATGCACTGGCGGAGGAAGAGGAGTGGGGGAGGAGCATACTGCCCCCGGCAGCACGATCCTGGTGGGGTACCATTGCAGCTGCCCCCCCTGCCCGCGCTGGGTGCCACGCCCCTGCAGGCGATGTGCCACGCCCCCCAGGACACACGCCAGCCCCGCCCCGCCTGCTCTCTGCCCCCCGGTGCCAGAGCATGAAGCTCCGCCACTGCTCCCATGAGCTCTCCTTTGGGCTTGAGGTTCAGGGCAGAGCTACTAACCTTGATTTGTGCATCTTACAGTGTTATGGGGTTTCTTTTTTACCATTCCCCCCCCCCCCCGTGTTTGGCCGTATCCTTCCTTGTAACGATTAAAAAAAATCCAGTCGCAAATGTAGTTATGCAAAAAGGTATCTCTGAACACAGCCAGAGTGCCTTTCCTTTGCCTGTTTTTAAAGCAGACAAGCCAGGGTGTGAGTGGCAAAATTGCACATCTTCTGCAGCAAAGGGAACTGTTTCTGCTCAGACATGAGCTCAACCACTTCCTCCTCTACAGATCCAGCTCAAGGCATGGTCCGTGCCTGCCACAAGGCCAAGGACAGGGAGGTGGCAGAACGCTCCACAGAAACAGTGCCAGAAGTTGCGCAAGATCAGAGCAAATTACAGCAAAGAGGAAATTATATATTTTTAATTGCTTTTTTAAAAAACATGTTTGTCTTGCTCTTCCGCCATGGGAAAGTGGGCCCTCATGCAAAGTACACGGACACATTATCGTTAACTCCGGTTGAGAGAGTGTGGCTGCTTCAAGGTCTCGCCCAGTGTGCATCATGGTTGGGTGAGGACTGCTCGCTGTGAAATCCAGTCCGTCATCTGCGTCACACAATGGGCTCTCAGCATGACTAAGCACAAAGGGCCGCACCCAATGGGAAACAACACCAGTGAACTTTTCTCAAATGCAAGCATCCAACAACTGCTTTTCTTAACTTGCCCTCAGCTGCATGTGATATTTGGTAGGGTGGCATAATGCAAAGTGCATGATGTGGTACAAAATACCAGGTCAGGCCCTTGGTCTGACCAGCTCAGTGTTGTCAGCACTGACTGGCAGCATCTCTCCAGGGTTTCAGCCAGGAGTCTCTCCCAACCCCATGCGAGATGTCAGGGATCAAACCTGTGACCAGCATGCAGAGCAAATGTTTTGCCACTGAGCTACAGGCCGTTGCCACCAAGAGGTGGGACAGGGAAGCATATGCATCCCTTTCGGTAGAACCATCAAGAGTGTTCAGCTGGGGCTGTGTACCACGCCACACATTTAAAACACATGGCTTCCCCCAAAGAATCTTGGGAACTGGTTTTTAAGGGTTGCTGGGAACTGTAGCACCGTGAGGGTTAAACTCAAATCCCCACTCAGTTATGTTGTTCCCTGGGTGGCCTTGGACTGGTCACTTTCTCAGGCTTACTTAGCTCACCTCCCGCTCACCCATCTGCCTCCCTCTGCCTTCTCCATTTTGCCTCCCGGGGCTGAATTTTGTAAGCCCAATGGAGGCAGAGACCTGTCCTCTTGTATTTTGTTCAAGGCTCGTGTTAATTGGCTGGTGGTGCTAGACTCTCTTCTGAGAGCTGCTTTATTTCAACATAAAACTTAAGAGCACTGAATGCTTTAAGGAGAGCCACTTGTTCCCTTCTGAGTGTGAGTTAGTCCACTGCTAATTCGGAGAAGCTTCATTTAGAAGCCAGCATCTGCAGGAGGACTGGGATTTAAAGGGAGTGCAAGCCCAGAGGAGTGCAAGGCTACCTCCAACGCATACACAACACGAAACTGAAAATCTGACAGCTTGGTAAAAATAACCAGGAGATGGTGCTCTTTTAAAGCAAATAAATGTCTCTTCCACTGACCAAAGGCACAGTTGCCTTGCAAAGCAACCTGTTCCAGAAAAAAATAATTAAAATATTCCACCTTCAGGAACTTAGAAAGCTGTCTTCTGTTAGGAAAGACCCCTCTAACTCTGCATTGTTTACACACGGAC